TGTAAAGGCATGAAAGGATGAAAACTCTAAAATCTATACCTTAAGAACAATGAAGGACGTACAAGCTTCAACTATTAACAAGCACAAGCCATCTATTAAACCTTTATAATATGTAGTTATTACTTATATATTTAAACAAAAAATATAGTTATTACACTGGAAATCGTACAAGACGATATTAATGAACGGTCAGATTGTTTAAACATAAATAATTTCTTGTGTAATATTCCTAATATGCATATAAACTTACTATGTATTCATATTAACATAAGGTCAATCGTAAAAAACTTCTCCACGCTCGAACAATGTATACTTACTGCTAATAAAAACATAGACGTCATTATTCTAACTGAGGCTAACATAACGGATAGTATTAGTTGCCTGTATCATATAAATGGTTACCAAATGTTCACAGCCCTAAGAAAGACAAGAAATCTTTCAAGAATCATCATATACGTAAGTAACAAACATAAATGTAACATAATAACAACAAAAACTACACATTTTGAAAACATTTTACTAAATATCACCACTCATTTTAACTATACTGCGAACATTTGTGCAATTTACCGTCCCCCGAGTTGTAGCAAAAATCACTTTATTGACGAACTCCAAAATACTATCAAAAATGCTCAAAATCTATTGATTTATTAGTAAGTAACTGATAAGGATAACTGAAGGATAACTTACTAGGAGACATTAACATAAACCTGAAATCGGACAACCCTATAACACATAAATACAATAATATGCGGCACAGTTTGGGCCTTCTATGTGGGATTACAGCACATGCTAGGATCGAATTATGTAATAAAGAACTAAGTAAATCATGTATAGATCATATTTACGTTCGATCCCGCACACAAGACCTATACACTGCAGCAGTCGGAACAACACTAGCCGATCATCGGATTATAATACTGGCTAGTCTTGGAGCACGTACACAGGCTGTCTCAAAATATAAAACTTGCACTTGACCAAAAGCTATTTACATTATTAGAAAAAACTGATTGGGAGTCTGCGTGCAATATGACATGCCCAATTAATATGAACAATTCTTTATACACAAACTTCATGGATTGCTATAGAAATTCGTCTTACACAGTAAAAATTAAAACAAATAATACAAGAAATAATAACTGGATAAATAAGAAAATTATTAGAGCATGTGAGTATAGGGATGAGTTATTTTTATAATGGATAAAAACACTAGTAATTTAGTAGTTAAACTACAATATAATAGGGTTAAAAACACGCAAATAAGCTAATTAACAAATATAAAAATACAAATTCTGAAATTATTTCAAATAAACAAAACTCTTAAAATCTTTGGGAGATTTTAAATAGGCTGACGGGCAAGATTAAGTCTTCAATTGATGATGCACTTTATAATTCTTTCGGTAGTAATGGCTGCACTAGTAAAGACATTGCGAACAAATTTGCTAGTACATTCAACAATAGTATTAAACAAATAATTCCGAAATGTACGGAATTATTGCTTGACAAAGCAATCTATGAATCTTCGGCAAATGTAACCATGCGATTTATCCCTGCCGATTCTAAAGCTGTGGAAAATATAATTAAATCAATAAGCAGTATCAAAGCCCCTGGGGCAGACAGGATAAGACCCATTGATATAAAGCTGCTGTGCGGAAAAATCAAAACAGTTATTGCTAAATTAATAAATGCAAGCGTTATTATGGGTAAATATCCTCCCCTGCTAAAAAATGGAATCGTTCGACAAATACACAAAAAAGGTAGTAGGACTAAGTATGAGAATTATAGACCAATAACGATATTACCTACCATAGACAAAATAGTCGAAAAATATATAAGCGCAAAAATCCATAGGTTTTATGAAAGTAATAATATATTAACTAGCAAGCAATATGGTTTCCAACTTCAAAAGAATATCTCACAACTACTTTATGCATTCACAGACAGTTTGTACACGCATATTGACTCTAAAGAGAACATTCTAGTCATTTTCATTGATTATAGCAAAGCTTTTAACACGCTAAGACACAACAAATTAATTCAAAATTTAAATGATAGCGGAATTAGAGGGAAGTTACTACCGTGGCGTAAAAATTATCTCCATGAAAGATCCTATTGAGTAAAAATTAGTGATACTCTTAGTTTCCCTGTCCAGGTAACGGAAGGCACAGCACAGGGCTCAGTTCTTGGAACTTTGCACTTTCTCACCTACGTATCGGTATACGGACAATCTTTCTAATTTAACTAAACAGTGTGAGATCTATCAGTTTGCAGATGATACCTGTTTAGTAGCTGCTGGACGTAGTATACAGGAGTTACTAATGAAATTTCAAATAGAGTTTGACATACTGACGAAGTGGTCACACGACGTCGGTTTAGTACTCAATGCTGCCAAAACTAAACTTATGTATATAAGTACAAGCCACAACAGAAGTTCTTTTATACCTAAACTAATAGCGCACACACATCAATGCCTTCATATAAAAAATACTGACAATTCGACACCCTGTAATTGCGATGCCATAGAAATTGTAAATAAGCACACCTATCTTGGTCTAATAATTGACGATCGGCTAAACTGGAAAGAGCATGTAAATCGTGTTTGTGATATTTTAAGAGGGATATTAGCAGAATTTACATTAATCAAACACAAAATACCTTACAAAACCTCTTTAAGGCTCTATAAATCCTTAGCTGAATCTGTTATACAATATGGCTTGTCAAGCTATGGGAGAACGTATAAAACATATCTAGATCGAATATACTCACTTCAGCTGCGCATTTTAAAACAAATAGTCCCTAATAATCTCAAAATTAATTTTAAAGATGATTATCGAAAACTATTTGCATTTTGTAAAATTATACCTATTCACGACAAAGTTGAACTAACATTACTAACAGAAAATTACTTTACTGAAAATTTTAAAAAGGTAGATAAGTTATTATACTCCGCACGCAGAACTGATAATCTAAAAGTGCAATTACCTAAATATAATAACTTATACGGAAAAAGAACTTTAAACTATGTCATACCTAATCCAATCAATCAGTTACCTAAATCTTTGAAAGACGTCATAACACGTAAAAACATAAAATATAAATTAAAAACTCTTACTAAATACTCGTAACACTTAAAACAACTTCTCGTTCTATATTGTTGGTTTACTTTACCAACATATTATCTTATTATAAATTTATGAAAATATATGTTATAATCATCCAGTATCACGATTATTCACAGAATGTAATAAGTTCACCTTGTGATTTTACGCTCATCGCCTAAAACTATTTTATATTTTTGTACCCACAAATAGTTTGTCAAATAGATACATAACATTTAATCATTGAAGTAATATGTACTTACGTACTAGAACAGCTATTTCAAACAAAACATGAGCGCTACTCTGTGTTCGCGCGGTTGATTTTTTTATCATAGAATAAAGCATAGGTAGAGTGTTCAGTAGGTGTAAAAATAGATTGTATTGTTAAATAGCTAAATTATATCGAGAAGAATTTTCAAATTTTGATATTTATTTTGTATATATTTCCCTATTTAATATAATATTACATAATATTATATCACAATCACACTTTAATGATATTTTTATCTGAATATTTTAAAAGGTATCTATGCCATATATAAAAATACACACTAAATGAATGTTTAACAAAATTTATTAATATGACATTTAAATTACAAATATAATTTATTTAAATTAGAATAATGGTCGTTCATAAATGCTGGGCACGCGAGATTAAAAATGGACGAATTTATTCCACTTATACTTTGATGTGGGAACCTAAACATAAAATAAAAGTATAATGAACAGATTTAAATATAAAAAATTTGCCTAATTATGATAACTTATATATGTTTCTACAAAAAAAATGTGTATAATAATATATTCGTCCTATACTTAAGTGCCCACAGAAATGTCGCATCTGAACAAATTAATTTCATAATCTATATTACATGACACGAGATGGCGTCTTAGGAATAATTTGTTTTATTAATTTATCTATAATACATTTTTTTATTGATTAAGTATCTTATTAACGGATGAAAAGTAATTCCTCGGTTTTTACTGACATTTCTTGAATTATTTGTGCAATATCTAAGTACACACGATGGCATATTTTTATCAAGATTTTTTTTTTAAATCACCACAACACGTGACAACTCTACAAGCGCCTAGCGAGTGACTGATTAAAGTGCGGTGTATGCACTGCAGTTGAGTGGAACATAGTAGCTGAATGCAGTGTCGCCTCTAGTACGTAGTATATAATAGCTCAACGCATTTAATGCACCTAATTTAAGTTGATAATAATATTAATGTAACTTTGGTAATGTAATGTATTGCAAAGTGTTAATTAGAATAATGTGTCGACAGCAATGGTGTACGGAAAAACTCTAATGAGTTTATATTTACACTAAAACTATTCATCTTTGTAATCATAAATTTCTTAAATAAATAAATAAAAAAATTACCAAGACCACACAACAAAGTTTTCGTTTCTTCGACTTTTAACCTCCGAGCGCGCCGCAGATGTCGCATTGGAATTATTGAAATTTTTTTTTGATATTGGATGCCCTGAGATACTTCAGAGTGATAACGGCCAGAATTCATAGCATCAATTATAAAGGAATTGGTTCAAATCTGGCCAAGTTGTAAAATAATTAACGGAAGACCTAGACATCCAGCGAGTCAAGGATCTGTGGAGCGAGCGAACCAAGATGTGGAGAATATGTTACAGACTTGGCTACAAGATAATAATTCTACTAATTAGTCGATTGGAATACGCTTTGTACGACAAAAAAACTGCTCTTTTATGAACTATAAACAAGCTCTTTTTGGGGTGGATCCTCAAATTGGTTTGTTATCATAAGTGTCTACTTATTTGCTTAATAAACTAAGAACTGAAGAAGATCTTGAGTAGACATTAAATCAACAACAATCTTGTTCATCGGCAACACCTGCACATAATAACGAATTACCTGTTAACTATGTTAACTTGCAGCAACCATCCTGTTCATGGGCGTCACAACCGTCATCTTCATCAGCAGCACCAGAGCCTATTGAAACCTGCGACAGTGACTTGCCTGTCGCGTCTGTTAACTTGCAACAACCGTCATCTTCATCAGCAGCGCCAGAGCCTATTGAAACCTGCGATCGTGACTTGCCTGTCGCATCTGATAACTTGCAACAACCGCCATCTTCATCAGCAGGGCCAGCGCCTATTGAAACCTGCGACCGTGACATGCCTGTCGAGTCTGTTAACTTGCAACAATTGGCATCGAAAGTGCCAGCAGAACAAATTTTACTTTTATGTGTAGTTCACGGCAAAGAATGTACAGGAGCATATTAATGCTACTCGTGTGCACGAAATGTTCACGTAATTTGTGGAATAACGTCATGTGATGAAGGTTAGGGATCGCAGCTATTATGCTTTTTATGCAACAGCGAAAAAAACATTCAAGACCAAAGAGACAAAGCTGCCGAAAACTTAAGAAAAGCCGCACAAAAAATGAAACCCCACTCATCACAGAAATTTCCTGACATTGACGTGGGATCTTCAGTTCTTACAGAGATACCAAAGATAGATCGTGGACCATTGGACCAAAAAATGTATTAGGAAAAGTTTTATAAAAGTGAAATGAAAGTCATAAAATTGGAACTTCAGTTGGTATCCTGAAAGATTGGTTACCCAGAAATCCAATACTGCTTTCAAACATTACTTTGAATGATCCTATACCAAATGAAAACTTGTCACTGAGAGAAATATGCCAAAAATTGTCGCGCTTTGGTTGCCAAGGTTATTTAAAATGTTCCTGTAAAAAATCGAATATACAGTGTTCTACTAAAAGATGTGCCTGTAAAAAGCATTCAGTGATATGTAATTCTAGATGTCATGATTCCTCTTCTTGTCTGAACAAAAATTAAAAAATACTTTTAAAGCAACCAAGATCTCAACTTGTTGATAAGAAATAAAGATATCTCAAAACTGTTTGGCTTTAAAAGATTTTTAATGTTTGATTAGTTTTAATTGTATTGTTAATGTTTAAATTCCAAAAAAATATGATCGTTTTAATTATAATTACTTTAATACGTGTTAATGTCACAAAGTATTGTGACTAACTGCAGGATACATAAAGTTGATTTATTAATAAAGATAAAACCAATATAATTTTGTTTTATTTAATTATATATGGTAGATTTCTATTTCACTAAGCTTAATCAAGTAATGGGTCTGTCTCAAAAAAGTGGCACACTTTTGAAATGTTTTTTAATTTTTTAAAAATGTTTGAGAATAAATAAGCTTTAATATACTACAATATGATGACAATATGATACAATATGACTTTTTTGAGAAAAACCCTAATATATTTATAACACTGAACTTAATCTAGTCATATAAGTATATCACTAAACTTCGACGGTTTTATAACTATATTCCTAGTGAGATAGTAAAGAATCGCTTTCGTATAACTATGTTACGGTATATAATTAATTATACGGGATATAACTATATTACGGCTTTATCTATCTTACTGCGACACATATATAAGTATCTAATGACCTACCTACTTACAGTATTAGTGATTACAAACATGTCGGTACATACCATACGACACGCGGGAAGTGGAGGCGATATTAGTATTTGAGATGAGGTAGTATAGGCTCTTAATAAGTTCAAATTTTACAAACGCATATCGCGTCAAAATTCACGATACCATCCTCACCATCTGGATGCTTGGCGGTCCACCACTGTGCGTTTTACTAGGAGCTTTATTCCTCGTACAACTTCTCCGTGGAATTGTTTACCACCGGCGATTTTTTCGGACCGATACGACTTAAGGACCTTCAAGAAAAGAGCTTACTCCTTTCTAAAAGGCCGGCAATGCACCTGAAATTCCCCTGGTGTTGCAGTTATTCATTCATGCATTCGGCGGTAGTCACTTACCATATGGTGAGCCGCGTGCTCGTTTGCCCATATTTCTATAAAAAAGTCTTCTATACCAGTTCGTGATAGCCACCAAAATGTATTTATATAATTAGCTTTTTACGCGCGGTTTCAATCGCATAGGCTTCAATTTAGGAACATCGTTAATACTTCTTCGTGCCAAAATTTTAGAAAATTGCGTCACTACGTGTATTTATCACGGTATTTAGAATAAATGATCAGAGACTTTTGCACGTAGATGACTTATTGTTGTAACAGAGATAATGTAATACATGAACATTCAAATAAATAGCCAGACTTTTGACGAATTTATATTGCGAATGTCATTTAGGGGTTGGATTTCCGAAAGCCAAATATAAAGCTGCTAGGACCGTCTCAGAAATGATGGGAGGCTTAAGCCCAGGTGTAAGATGTATGTAGTCTGTTATTTTGATCATATTAAATATTTTATTCGTAAATATTTCTGTTTCGATAATATGTCAAAATTAAAAACAAAATGTTTTCTAAAGGACGCAATTGAACGTTTGTTTCTACCGTATGAGATTCAATTCAGTGAGCGTAACAACATATAGCATCTGTTTCAGCAGCAGACTTGCGTGGTCACGTTGTGTCTTAAAAACGGAACGTGGTTTGCTTTGAACCTATTTTATAGTTAATTTGTCTTTAGGCGTACATACGATTGAGTTTATCTAATCGATCCAGACGCAAACTAACGTCGTGCGCTTCACTTCTCACTTCGCAATTGGTTCAAATTTGTCGTATTTTACAATATAAGTCTATTTTAAGTGCTTAAAACAGACGTATGTAGGTATATTCTAAAGTGAAGTATATAATATACGTCTATTTATGTAAAGGGTATAAATGCGGTTTATTATTTGAACTCTATGCATTTATTATTGTACTTTTTTAATTAATAAAACTGTAAACGTGAACTTGAGTATTTTTCAGTCGTTAATATTTTGATTCTAAAAAAAGTGTTTGATTAAGAATCAAAATATTAACGACTGAAAAATACTCAGGTTCACGTTACTTAAAATACGATACAAATAGATATTGTAATTTTATTATATGATGTCATGTATAAGCCATTTTGTCCTTTACAGCCCATAAAATTTCACTGCTTAACACAATCTCCGCATAGATTAAATCATAGAGGGGATTTTGCCACAGTTGCCATGCGTGGCAGGCGGGTTGGAAATCGCATTTTTTATTTTTAATTGTTATTAGGAAAGTACTGCTGTCCTTTTCCTGTTTCGATTTTCCTCTGTCGCTTCTTACGACACTCATGGGACGATATGGTGTAATGGATGTTCTTACACCGCTACTACAGGTACACTACACGTATTTCCTAATCATGCTAAAGTAATAATAGGTTTATTTTTCGCAAGCCCAATTACTGATTATGTGATCCCGGGTTTAATTCTGGACTAAACTCATTTATTGCGTTTTTCTGTCGAGAAATTCTCAGTAGTAGCCCGGAATCAGGAATTAGTAGTAGAGTGTTTCACACCCGTGCCGCAGAAAGCACGTAAAGCCCTAGGCTCACCACTATCTTCTTTCCAAAATAAGTAATAGAATACAGTCTGCATCTGTGTTTACGCCCACATTCTTGCTCTATAATCCTGTGCTACGGTGATAACTGGTCACCATTATGACTGGCGGCCTTGACCGAAATGCGGTCAACTATTACTGCGGAAATTATTACTATAATATACATGTACAAATGCAATGCTGCTTAACACGTCAGTAAATTTCAGAAATGAAAAAAGATCTAGGTCCAGCTGTAGATCTTATAATTTGACTACATAAATTTTGTAAAAGAGGTATTAGTATATTGAAGTAGAATGGTCATGAACTCAAGAATATTAATATTTCTTTTACATTTGCATGCTGAGTTATAATGATAGAGAAATAGATACCATCAATAACAGTTTCATAAATATTTAATTTTAATAAAAAACACTGTTTTGTATTATGATTTCTCATATGTGTTACACATCTATGTCATCATCAAAAGTCTATCAATAGCCCTTTGACAAAAATAAACCTCAACCATAGATTGCCTCATCGAGACAATTTCACATACAAAATACAATAAGAAAAAAGTGGTTTAGGTGTGATCTGGAAGGTCCACACGACTAACTTCCTAGTAGAAAGAATAAAAAAATATCGTATGTTTTAATATTTTATACAATTTTTCATTCGGCACAAAAAGACTTGACTGATTTTGCTCAAAATTTAATTAGGTCTAAATTACATAATTATGCGTTAAACGAAACTGGTCCCATGTCAATATCACTATTTATTCTCGAGATACACGAGGCAAAAATTAAATCCAAACATACATACATACATACGTACATACGTACATGTGCACACACGGACATCCTTTTAAAAACCATACTATTCGACTATGTAGACTTTGAAACGTGGAGATATGTCAAAATTTCCGATTTGCAAAATAGGACCCATTACAATAACTTCCCACTGGAAAGTTAATAAGAATAGCATATCTCAAACAGAATAGCATACTGTGACAGCGTGGGCTTTCCCAGGTTGAGACGACTCTATCATGCTGCAATCATAACATACCTGCGGCGTGTCTCTACCACATTAAATATTACAGCGTCATTTTACCACATTTGATATAGTTGCATCGTGACTCTACTACTTAATATAATTTTAAGACAAATTTTTATTTCTGATAACATCACAGTCCTGATGTCATCAAAAACAATATGTCATCAAAACATAACGAAGTTTAAATATTAACCGTATGAGATTTTTATAACAGAATATAAGCATTTGTAGCTTCTATCTTAAAACGATATTTTAATATAGCTGAAAGAAAACAAAAGGGGAAGTAAATTTATTCATTTATTCATAACTCAAGGCACATTTTATAAAAGTGTTTCACATAATCTCAGAACCGTCACATGAAATTTAGATTTCACCGAACCGAAATATATTTTTTCTAAATATCGTTTTATGCTAAAGTCGATTTATATTTTGAATAATATTTGTATTTGTAGTCCTTGTGCGTTGGTACTTTCTTTTTGAAATCCTTTTTTTACAGCCTAAGGATGTCCAACGAATACACTGTTCACCTGGTAACTGGTTGCCAGCCTCAGAGTCAAAAAGCAAATGCGTTGCCACCCATGAGGACCAAGATGGAATGCCACGTTTTCAATGGTCTTCGGATCTCTACACAAATCCAAAGACAGACAGCAGCATTAAGATATTTTACCCCAGTATTCTGTGATAGCGTCGTACTTCCTACTACAACTATAATATAGCT